GAGGGGGTGAGGCGGGGGAGGAAAAAAGATGACGGGCTTTTTGGATGAATATGTTACATGGACATAATGTGAGGTGGAGTGAAGGATGGGGAGGTGGAGGTGGAGGTGGAGGTGGACGGAGGCTGCAGTGAAACATGGAAATGATGTTGTAATTATAACACCCACTCCTCTGAACCGTCATCTCCAATTTGTCAAAAAGCTGCAAATCCAATAAAGTTGAACATTTAAAGCACTTTGACCTTTAAAAACCCCCTTCAATGACTCTCCAGGATATCAAGCACCACCTGAACCCTGGTCTGGAGGAGCCACCTGGCTTCTTCTTCACTCTGGTAAAATTCAATTTTAGTGAAGGCTTAAGGTGAAGGAGAGGTGAAGGTTTGGAGGAATGAGACATGAAGATGATGATGAAGATGATGATGATGATGAGAAGGAGCTGGGGATGATGGAAAAAACAAACTGGGCAAACAGAGCTTTGGGGAGGGGGCGCAGGTCATTCAGTGGAGTTGATGGTGAAAGAGGGAGTGGACAGAAGGACAGTGGGGTGAAGGACGGGTGAACCCCAGGAGGAAAAGTGAGCGTTTACGGAGGGTGAGTGTGAGGTAATGATCGGCTCGCAAACACAAAATTGCTCAGTTAATGCAGAAACGTCTCCATGAAATGAAACATGGGAGCTGGTAATGGGAGGAGGGCCGACCCCCAGAGGTCACAGCAGACATAAACATGATGAAAACACTTCTTCTTACGTGTGCACGGAGCCGACGGGGTGTCCAGGGGGGTCCTGAAGTGGTCTTCCTCACAGACGCACACCACGGAGCCCTCCTCCTCCGCCACGCTGTTGGCAGGACAGGGGAAACACTCCTGCTGCCTGGAGGACATCTTGTAGGACCCAGGAGGACACGCTGTGACGGGGGACAGGGAAAAGAGAAACAGAGTTTCAGATCAATCTGAACAATCTGATGTTTCCTTTATCTGAACAGGACTAAACCACTTTTAAATCATATTTGACAGGATGTTTATTCACAGCAGCTGAATACTCCGACGCCAGAACAAAGACTGTCACATTTCCGCAGAAAGACTAATAGAAATGCTTTAGCTGCTTTTTAAAGATAATATAAATCCATCTTCTATCACTTGAGCATCTTTGCGTCTTAGCACAGACAAGCTTTAGTCATATTTTAAAGATTAAGAGAAGGAGGGGGGGGGAGTATAAGCTCTAATCTTGGTTTCAATACACGGGAGAAAATGAAGAATGAACGGTGAACAAGAAAGCCGGCGGATCCACAGGGAGGTGCAGAGTCAGACGTTATGAAAGATGGGATTAGTGGAGGAAAGTGGAGGAGACTAAAACCCATCTGACCAACAATTCTCACATTACGTGCGATCAGTGGTTTCAGCAAACGGCAACAAAAGCTTCAGCCGAATAAAAGCTGCTTAGAAATTAACGCTAGGCTAAAACAATGTGCAAAGACACAGAGGATCGATGGAGTGAAATATTCTGTGCAGTTTGCACAATGTTGGTTTGTCCTCGTGGACTTGCTTGGACACATTTAAAAGTTCTGAACAAACAGCAGCAGTCAGGACCGTCTCCTCTGCTCCTCAAGGCTAACAAGGAAGCTAACAGCCGCTAAAGCTGACCCAGAAAAGGCAACACATTAGCAACCAAAGCTAAAAGCAAGACAAACATGTTGCACAAATACTGTAGTTATGCCAAAATATATTGATAAATAAAACTAGCTACAGGAGACAAAAAAATTAAAGATAAATAAATGCATGCATAGTACATTTTACAAACTAACAGTTAGCCGTTACAAAACGTCAATACATTTTTACATAATTTGTATGAAATAAACTAAATGTTTGGCCTCAAGGCAGTGGGAGAACATGTTTTATTTTCTATATATAAGTTTTAGTTAGAATATAGACATTACTGGCTACAGTTTCCTTCTCTAGGAGTCAGAAAACAACGGCCCTGAGGCCAAATATTGGACCCCAGCTGAAAGCCTAAAAACAGCTCTGTATGGAGGTGGGAGGTGTGCTCCTTTGTTCTCTTTTACTCGGCTCCTCACTTCACTTTCACTTGACTCAATCCAAAAGTCCATCAAGCTTCTCTTCCCCTTGTGTCAACTCTCTGCTTTAATTGAATTCAGGGATGGACACGATCTCAGGACAAATGGACCTTTTCGCTCCCAGCTCATTATAGCTTTTTAATTGTTACTTATTTCCGTGGGGAGGTTGATTTTTTTTTTTTTTTTAGCTTGACTGATTTTACTGACGTTCAGTTCAACTCAGAGTTAAGTCACGAACGCTAGCAGAACTGACTGGGTCGGAATGAAGTTTTACATAATTACAAAGATGTAGAGAAAAGGAGTTCAATATCTCCGTAAACTGTAGAGAAAAAATTGTAATAAGGAATTAAAAAATGTAAAATTAAAAATTAAAATAATTAAATAAAAATAATTAAAGTGATGAAGCCTTGCTATTTTGCTGTTAGCAAGCAAAAAAAGTCCTGGAGTAGAAAAACAAATGCAGAGCACCTAATAGCCACACCTGCGTCTTACTGCCACCCACTGGACTGGAGTGTAACTGGTGGATCAAAAATGTTTTTTTTTTTATCCCTTATTTTTTATCACTGTTTTTTTAAAAATTAAAAGAGAAGGTCTAAAACATGAGTCAATGTTTCAGCCGGATCTCTTTCACATCATTTGAAATGTTATCACCGGTGACGGCCACAGTTTTGTTACACAGTGGAGACAATCAATAAAGCAACCAAACTGACCAACAAAGCCACTCGCCGGCACCAACGCCGGCCCACACACACACTGTGAATGACACACACGTCACTCGCCTCCTCTGTGGCGCTCATGTAAATCCTGTTTTAGTGCAGCGTTGTCAGCGGTGCTGTGTCACAGTAAACACAGAGGAGACAACGTGCCCACGTAAGGACAGACACGGCACAGCAGGTGCAGCAACAACCCAAGACGCGGCGTCCTGAAACGGTTCACAACACTCATAAAAACGTGTACGACAACCTTGTTTATCCCACACTCTTCACTTAGTCATGCTCACAGAGCACAATAGAACCTGCCGTCACACACTGACGAGGAGGCGTCAACAGCACAGCAACTGTGTGAGTGCCTGGGACTGTTCCCAGCATGTGTGTGTGTGAGTACACATATATATCAATGTGACTGTGTCTGAAGCTGCAAATATATTGTAATCGAGCCTCTAATGTCTGTCATTGGCGCCGAGCGTTAAAGGCACTCATGGTTCTGTGAAGCAGCGGTGGAGTGGATTCTCTCTGTTCCGCAGCACGCTGATGATATCCACGCCTTCGCACGCCAACAACATCCAGCTCTGAAATCAAGGCAAAGAATATGCATGGATGTGCGAGAAGAGAAATTGGTTTTCTCGAATTTTCTACCCATTGCGCCGGTGAGACGCCTCGCCACGTTTGCGGCCGGCTGCCATCACGACTTATCTCCTCAATTCACCGTGAACGCGCCCGTTTCAACGGCCCACCTTGGAAATGTGTGTCTAATGATAGGGGTGTATCAAGACAATATGTGCAGCTCAGATAACAAAAGGGAGCTGGCCTCGCTCGCCGCCCGTCATTCACATTCACAGCAGAGGGATCATTGAGGGGGCGACAGTGAGCCAATGCCAGGCAAGGTCACGTCAATCAAACTGGACTGGAGGCCGTCAGCCAATGAGAGGAGGAGGATTCTCTAAAACACACGAAGAACATCTCTGCAGTTGTTTTAATCTGGTCTTTGTGTTTGTGTTGTTGTTTTCCAAGTGTTTGAATTAAACTGGAAACGACAGCATCAGGGGGAGAGAAGGAGAAGGAGCCGGAGAGGGGGAGACAGAAGGGGAGATCTGCCAGGACAGCTGGCAAACCGAGCGATCAATTTGTCCTAGATGGCGACGAGGAGCTTGGATTAAACCGAACACAGCAGCAGCATCAGCAGCAGCAGCAGCAGATATTTGAATGGTGACATATTTCTTCAAGATGTTTTAATAAAGATATGCAGTGATGGGCCGAGGCCATCAGAGGGAGGCAGGGAGGGAGTGTGGGCAGGAAGACAGGCAGAGGGGGTGTGGGAGAGACAGAAAGGCGGGACAACTGCGTCCAGGGTTGGACAGAGGACTTCACTTTGACAGACATGTAATGCATATATAATAAGAAGTGCAGACAGTCAGTTAAACATATAGAAAACAAACAGCAGCAGTCTTGGTCTACGTCAAAAATAGGGTCCAGGGGCCTGACACTGTACCTCAAAAAGGTTTATGTGGTCCATGAACTTTTATTTTAATTACAAGCCAATCAGGTGTAGAGAAAAACTTTGTTCCTTCATCACCTATAATTGAGACTCCAATGTCATCGGCAGAACCACTAGCATTATTTTACAGCTAAAAAGTTAATTTTGATGTCAATGTAAATCTGAAGCGGAGAATAAAAGTCTCAGAGAATGTTGATAAAAACCTCAAAACCAATTTATTTTCTCTCAAATCTCCCTTTTTGACATTTCTTACCTCATCAGATGCCTGAGCTCGTGGGTCTTGTCAGAGAATACGATATAAATGTGTGAAATATGATGTTAAATATTATTTTTTTCCACCCATAAACTGTGCTGCAAATTAGGTATTAAATCAGCATCACTCAGAATTCCTGACGTGAAACCAGCTTCGTCTTCTTAATTAAATTTTTCCTCTGCAGTCAAAGCTGTGATATTTCCACCGTTCTGGTTTCACACTTCTCTTATGTTTGATCAGTCGCTACCTTCAGACGGAGAAAATTAAATATTTCAAAGTTAATCCTGGAGCCGACTCTTTTCTCTTTTTTACAAGTAGTTTTGTTCCGTGGGAATAATAGAAAAAAAAACAAAAAACAAAGAAGTAAATGGTCGTGTGTTTTGATAGTAGTAAAAAAACCAAAGAAGTAAATGGTCGTGTGTTTTGACTTTAGGAAAGTTAAGAGTTCACTGGACTTTTCTGGCATCACATACGTATTATTGACTGATGAGAAAAAGGCAGTTGTGACATTTTGTACGACCGGACTCTTTTGTAAACATCAATTTTCTCCTCCTCGGCTCCAGGTGAGGCGTCGCGCCCCGTCCACGTGTCTGGCTGCACCGAGGACGTGACCACCTCCTGAATTTCGGTTTAAATCCCTGTTATTAACTCAAAGAAAAGAGCGACCGCCGGCTGCCGGGGAGTGTAATCAGAGAGAGAAAGGATCTGGGGGCTGACATTCAGGTCAACTTTAGCTCTTTTTTTCCCCCTTCTCTGTTTCTTAAGATTGACACGGTACAGAGAATAACACAGGAGGATACCTTTCAACAAGGCTGGGGGGGCGGGGGGGCTGGGGGGGGTTAACACTGGAGATGCATCATCCTGGGATGATGCACACACAAAAAAGAAATGTCATATAATGTATCCATCCATCCTTCCGTCCATCCATCCATCCATCCATCCTTCCGTCCATCCTCTGATCGTGTCCATTATTTTCAGTAGATTCATCAGAGGCTGAGGAACAAAAGACTGAGACGGCTACAATTTCAGCTTATTATTCACAACCTCCTCCTCCTCACGCTGCTCTTCCTCCCACTCCTCCTCATCTGCCTTTCTGCTCTCTCAGACACGAGGCCCTATTCATTCACACGTCAGATATTTAGCAGCCGCTCCTTCCCAGACTGACACACAAAAGACGGAACACATTGTTGGGGGAGACTGAACGTGAATTAATTTCAGTAATGATATGATTTGGCTGAGTTCTGCGCTGACGAGAAGAGCTGAATTAAAGGGAGAAAATATGTGATTTACACTCAGAAACAGATGTGATCACTGAGACAAAGCCCACCCTGGTCTGGGCTCTGTGCTTTTCTCACATTTGTGGTAC